TTGTTTCTCGTGATGTTTTATTTCATGAAACTATTTTTCCATTGGCTGCAACTTCATCTGCACCTTCTGTCCCTGTACCGTCACCACAAGCTGTCTTCACCGATTATGATGTGGCACCTGTTACTGCTATTGATACTCCCACAGCGGAGCTTGATGACAGGGGGAGTTCGTCCTCCCCAGTTCCGGGTTCTATTACTTCATCCACGGATGTCCCTGGTTCACCCGTTCCGTTGACAGAACCCAACACTGCATCTGTGGCAGATATTCGTGAACAGCGTGCCAGACGTCCCCCATCTCATTTAAAGGATTATGTATGCAACACAATGACTACACCCTTTCCTCGTCTCTCCACTTCTCCAATCGACTCAGGTATTCAATATTCCATTGATCATTATGTTTCTAATGCATTATTTTCTTCGCACCATCAGATTTTTCTTGCCGCCGTGGATAGTAACCTGGAACCCAAATCATTTAAAGAGGCTATGCAATATCCTCATTGGCAGAAAGCCATGCAAGCCGAAATTGATGCATTGGAAGCCAATCATACTTGGCAAATTCAACCTCTCCCTTCTGGTAAGAAAGCTATTCCATGTAAGTGGGTGTACCGCATCAAGTACAATTCTGATGGAACCATTGAACGCTATAAAGCGCGTCTGGTTATTGCTGGGAACAATCAGATCGAAGGAGAAGATTACACTGAGACTTTTGCACCGGTGGCTAAAATGACAAGTGTGCGTACATTTTTATCTGTAGCTGTAGCTCGAAAATGGAGCATTTTTCAGCTGGATGTTCAAAATGCCTTTCTCCATGGCGATTTGGATGAAGAAGTCTTTATGCGTTTTCCTCCCGGTTTCTCCCAAACCAAGTCTGGTCACGCCTGTAAGCTTCAACGTTCACTTTATGGTCTCAAGCAATCCCCACGAAATTGGTTTGCTAAGCTTCGTAGTTCTCTCCTCAGTTTCGGCTTTGTTCAGTCTCGTGCTGATTATACGTTGTTCACTTACTCGACTGGTTCCCATTATGTTGCTATACTTGTCTATGTAGATGATATTTTGTTGGCAGGTAGTGATCCTTCTCTCTGTGACCGTGTCAAAGCTCATTTACAAACCTGGTTTAAAATCAAAGATCTTGGTCCCCTCAAGTATTTTCTTGGCATTGAATTTGCTCGAAGCAAGACCGGTTTGTTTCTTACTCAACGCAAATTTGCTTTGGATATTCTTAAGGAATGTGGACTTCAAAGTTGTAAACCGGTTGCTTATCCTATGGATCCCAATCACAAGCTTGCTCTTGCTGAAGGACCTCCGTTTGATGATCCTAAACGTTATAGACGTATTGTTGGCCGTCTTGTATATCTCACGATTACACGACCAGAACTTAGTTATGCAGTTCACACACTTTCTCAGTTTTTGCAGCATCCTATGCAGATACATTACGATGCGGCTATTCGTGTTCTTCGGTACATTAAGTCCAATCCTGGCCAAGGACTCCTTCTTCGATCTGACAGTGATCTTCTTCTTCGTGCCTATTGTGATTCGGATTGGGCTAGTTGTCCCTTGACTCGAAAATCAGTCACTGGTTATTTTGTTACTCTTGGACATTCTCCTATTTCTTGGAAAACCAAGAAGCAAAACACAATATCCCGCTCCTCTGCTGAAGCTGAATACCGTGCCATGGCAGCTGCGACTTCTGAGCTTATTTGGTTAAAGTCTTTTCTCAGCTCTCTTGATATTCCTCATGCAGCCCCTATGCAACTGTTTTGTGACAGTCAGTCTGCTATTCATATTGCTTCTAATCCAGTGTTCCATGAGCGTACCAAGCATATCGAGTTAGATTGCCATTTTGTTCGGGACTATCTTCTCAGCAAGACTATTTCTACTCAACATATCCCCACTAGTTCTCAACCCGCAGATATTATGACCAAAGCACTTGGATCCAAACAATTCGATTTTTTGACTTCCAAGTTGGGCATCTCCTCCCTCCATGCTCCACCTTGAGGGGGAGTATTAGAGTAGCATTAATTTGTTAGGATCCTGATTGTAACTATCACGGTTTGTTACCTTGTATATTAAAATAGATTAGCTTGATTTATGCTTTCTGTTCCTTAGTTTTAGCTGATTTCCTGATGTAAATAGATTAGCTTGATTTATGCTTTCTGTTCCTTAAGTTTAGTTGATTTCCTGATGTAAATAGATTAGCTTGATTTATGCTTTCTGTTCCTTAAGTTTAGCTGATTTCCTGATGTAACCAATTGTAAATCTTGGTCTATATAATAGACCCAATTTGATATATCATCAAGCTGCGAATGACAGCAACTTCTGTTATAATTCAAATCTTTGTCAAATCTTTCTCAAAGAACACAAAAATTAAACCATTTATTCAACAATAACTCATATGGTCGAACCATACATCATCAAGTACAAAAATTTTATTAAAAAATTTTATGCTATGTTCATGAACAATTCATCTAACTAAAACACAAAATCATCAAGATCAAAATGAACAAAATCAAGAATCCTAATTTTATTCATATTGTAGAGATATGCCATGAACCCTTCATGCATTTTTAAAATAAAAAATATGGAGAAAATAATGCATTTGAATATTCACTTCATGGCCAAATCATATTCCTTTCTAAAAGATGTTTCTTTTGTAAACTTTCACTAAGAATCAAAACAAACAAAACCATGAGTGCATGTAAGATATATGAACACCATAATCATATTAAACATGTTCATAAAAAGACAATCCACATGCAAAGTATTAATCTTTAACAACTTTAAAGAACTTTTGACTGTGAAAAATAATTTTCACAAACAAAGTACCATCACCCGCCGATGGTAAAGTGACCGGGCTCTGATACCACTTGAAAGTAAAATGGCCTTGAAGGCCGTAGCATGTGAGAGGGAAAAACAAAATTTTTCTTATGCGGAATCACACATGCAATCAAGAATCATGCTTTATGGCAGTATGATATTACCTTTGTTTGTGAGTTCAAAACTCCAAGACGATCAGTGTTACGTTTGAAGGGTTCAAACCCTCTAACGTTGATCCACACCACCCACGTCAAGATGCAAGAACTCTTCTTGTCAAGCCACCAATTGACCACCATAGAGAGGCTTGCTATGCGCTCAATAGGTGAAGAAGGAGGCTAGGTAAATGTGTTTTAGAAGAGTGAAGTCTTCAACATGAAAACTTCACAAGAGTGGGAATGAATTGGAGTAAAATTGGCTAGGTCTTTTTCTGAAAACCTTAAGGAGAACTTACCCCTAGTATACGCACAAGAGAGTGAGATAGTGAGTGAAATCAAATCAGAATTTTCACTTAAAAAACCAATGAAAGTGGCGCACAAGAGAGGAGAAAAAGGTGGAGTTGTTGCAATTCAAAATTCCCAACAACCTACCTTTGAATCCTCATGAGACTAAGTCTCTATCTAGTCAAGATTCTGAACTAATGGTCATCATATGACCATCCTATTCATGCGCCCCATTCAGCCCCAAAAGGGTTCCAAATACTTTGAGTTGTTGCATTCAAGTTTGAACCAACTAGCTCACTAATTCTCTCAACAACCAAATCTGATTGAAGCTTGTTTGTTTGAAAAAGATGACACTCATCTCCAACCAAAGTGGCGCCCCAAATCAGCCTTTGGAGATCTCCATAGATCTTCTCTTGATACAAGAAATTTGTTCCAACAAGATCTCATCTTATCCTTTTTTTATGAAATAACTTTTCATAGCCAATTCAAATTCGAATTCAAACATTTAAATTCAAATGTTCAAACATTTAAATTCTAAATTCAAATTTCAAATTTCAAAATTCAAATTCAAAATTCAAATTTCAAAATTCAAATTTCAAAATTCAAATTTCAAATTCAAATTTCAAATTTCAAATTTCAAATTCAAATTTCAAAATTCAAATTTCAAATTCAAAATTCAAAATATTTGATAATTAATTTAACCAATTAAATTAATTAGTAATGTCTTGGACCATCCAAGCCCATTAACCATACTATGCGCCCTCTCCCTCTTAGGTGGGCTTCCAAACTTCATCTTGGGCTAATAACCTTTATTAGGCCCAATACCTTTAATGCTAGATCATCATGACAATAAGGTGTTAGTGTGTGACCCATTAAGTCCAACATAGCCACTGACATAAATGGGCTTGGGCCCAATAAGCCCATAACCCATTTAATGACAACACAGAACACTAGCAATGCTTTGTTGCCCCAGAGCTAGTTAGATTAATGACTTGATCATCCTATTACACATATTTTGTTGCCGTATGTATCTCATTTCGTCTCGGTTACCTTCCCATTAAACCTAGGGTAAGGAAACGTATCAACCCTTGCGGTTTAGGGTAAGCTTTTTTCGAAATAGGGAATCTTCAATTTACTGACTGTAAAGGCAGATCATCTCATGATCTCTTTTACTATGCATAGATTCCCGAGTCCCTGTAAATGTCATCCCGATTTCTCCGGTTTACAGATAACCTAATCTCTCACAGAGATTTGACGAATTCCTTCAGCTTATCACCCTAGCCCTGTGCTCTTTCAGGACAAGCCCAACAGTATACCTATGAGTCTCCATGTTTCAGGCAGACGAGGTATACAATCAAAGCATGCCTTCTAGAACACAGTCTAGGTAATAACTTCTGGTCTAAGGAAAGACATACCCAAATGTAAAGAGACTACTCTAATGATACTCTATGTGAGATTTCCTCATAGAGTCTCTTTGTGGGTCTGTTCAATGCGAGCTATACCCTTATAGGTCCACCCACGACTTTAGCTAAGACATCTCCATATCTGTAGCACATGATGTCTTTACCTTGTATCCAAATACAAGTAGATAAGTCGTGCTAGTCTTACCCGAGATCACTGATCCCCATTCTCAGTGTCTCTAGATTAGGAACATAAAATTAGGAATAAACGTGCGGTATCCTTGAATCCTCATGATCGTGATCTCATCACAGATACTCAAGAGATACTTGTTCTATTCCAAGGGGTTTATCCAGTTACTCATATAAAATATTAACAATAATATTGAGACAAAATATGAAACAGGATAAAAAGTGCTTTTATTTATTTGCGACAATATAAATGGTCCACATATGTCCTAATCTAATCAAAAGATTGTCTCTAGGACATCCATATACTAACAATGCCACCAGACACTTACCTCGCGTGCCACAAATATTAATCAAATAGCAGCAATAATCAGTCCACACTCAAGGGTTACGCGCACCTAAGCAAAAATATATAAGTAAGAATCATACGTCACATTACTTCCTATACGCAGCATACGATTTCGCTCTTTTTGACCCTTAGTTCCCAATCGGTGAATAGGGATCTTTTTCTAATAATTTTCTGATTTCAAAAGAATATTATTAATTTATTAACAGTGACAATCCAATGTTCCTCAAGCATGACAAGTCGAGTTCAATACAAAAGAATAGTCCTATGATTGTAAATTAACGTTTTCTACTATATTCATCCTAAGGTTTAATCGAATTCTATGTCCGTAAGCTAAATGAATTTTCTGTCATATACTTAAATTACCAATTCAGCCCCCTTTTTGCTAGGGGTTTGCGCACCTAAAGCATCAAAATCAAATCAGAATTCATCTCTTTATATCATATAAGTTACAGACAATTTATATGCCTACTAATACTAGTCTTCCTTCGGTTTCAATTGCCCCTATGGTAACTAAATTTTTCTGACTTCACACTACTTTATCAACTTGTTAACAACAATAAAATTCAAGGTTTCATGAACACTCAGATTCGGTTTTTAGGACCATCCCCTAAGGAATTCTAATTCTTTCTTTAATATAACCCTACTACTCTCACTTAACCATGGATAATTCAATTATAGCATGTTGTCTTTAACAAAATTAACACATGCAACTTAATTAATTTTTCTAATTCCAGCTACCGTCCAACCAAATTAATGGGAGCAATTTCCAAGCTCACCAATTGGATTCTCCTTGTGCTTACAAGCACCAAGTTCATGGGTATTCCCAATGGCAGAACGCAAAGGAGAAGAATGGCAAAACATCTTCTTCTTAAATACTAAAAAAAATGTGCCGAATCAAATAGGGGAAAAGGAGAGGACACGGTTTCAGATTCCTACCTTGCATATGTTCCCAACTAGCTCCCAAATCAGTTCGTGAGCCTCAACCAAAAGAGGGCAGCACCCTCACATTCCCACTGTCCAAGGGTGAAAACTGAAAACACATAATAAACATCCCACTCATCCTTTCTCATGCCAAAATCAGAAAGCAAGTAATGTGTGAATTCCTCACTTGTTCTTGCGAATTAAGGAAGTTGAGTCAGAACTCAAGATTGCTGGTCTTTCTTGTCATAAGTCGGGTTTGCCGCTGCATGCAGGGGAGTTCCATTAAGAACGGAAAGGGTGACCGGCATGCAATTGACTCTCCTCATCAAATCGAAGAGGGAAGGATACACAAGTGAGTAGAGAAATTTCTACACCTCTTTGCATGTAACTCACGGCCGAACAAGACAAGCATGAAAAATGGACTCATGTTGTGCTCTCCTTGGCTGCTGCCACTCAGCCGAACCATACAGGGAAAAATGGAAACTTGAATGGTCGTTCCCCTCTTAGATAACTCATGGTTTGTGGGGAATAGGGGAGGAAAAGAGCCTGCGAGCTTTCGGCTTGATGGACGATTGAATCAAGAGAAGAATAATAGAGGATGGGCTTAGGTGTTTGGGGTATTCTCCCTAGGAGCTCGCGGCCTTGTGCACATGGGGTGACTGATTCATCTTCTTGGCTAGAAGAAATAAGCAACCTGATGGTTGTCTTTTCTCCTATGTTGTGCGCACTAGGTGGAGAACAAGGTAGATGAAGATTGGCTCTTGCCCAATAGAATCGCATGCATGCAGATTTCACTTGGTTACTTAGGGATAATGCTTAAAGGGAATTTGGGCTGAACTTAAATTCTCCAAAGGCTTGGGCCGTCGCCCTCTTGGGCTAGATGGTCCCTAATTAACTAAGCCATATTGTTTTATGTAATTTATCAAGTATGATATAGGGTTTCATTGTATGTTAGCACTTAAAATTAATCTTATCCTATACTTACCTGTAGTTCAATTTTATGGCATGTGTTCCCCTCCCCAATTGTACTTTAATTATTTTCCTAATAATTATTATCCCATGTTCCCATTAGGTAGTAACTAGGGCTTCTACCTATATTGTAATTAACTTAATACTATACTTCTTGACTAGTATTTCGAATTATTTAAATATGGGAAAAGTGTCTATACATTTAAATTACACAACTTACATCCTTTCACTCTCACAAAGAGGTGGGACCCACAAATTTATTTTTTTTGTCAACTCTCTCTCCTCCTTTATCTATCTCTTTCTCTCTCTTAAAATGACACAACTTTACATCCTTCAAAATTATACACACTTTTCCCTTTAAATATATATAAATATACTCACTTATAATTTCCATAAGAATAATTTTTCCTAATTTAGATTAATTCCACCTTAAACATAAATTGAATTCGAACTTCAAGCATGCTTCACATCCCTAATTGTAAGTTATGTAATTTCCTAATTATCCGGGATGTTACAGCTAGTTAGGTTAATGACATGATCATTCTATTAAATGTATTTGGTTACCGTATGTATTTCCTTTCATCTCGGTTACCTTCCCATTAAACCTAGGGTGAGGAGATGTATCAACTCTTGCGGTTTAGGGTAAGCTTTAATTCGAAATAGGGAATCTTCAATTTATTAACTCTAAAGGCAGATCATCTCATGATCTCTTTTACTATGCATAAATTCCCGAGTCCCGTAAATGTCATTCCGATTTCTCCGGTTTACAAATAACCTAATCCCTCACAGAGATTTGACGAATTCCTTCAGCTTATCACCCTAGGCTTGTGTTCTTTCAGGACATGCCCAAAGGTATACCTATGAATCTCCATGTTTCAGGCAGACGAGGTATACAATCAAAACATGCATGTAGAACATGCCTTTTCCTTACTGAGATTTCTGTTTAGAGATCTCACCCCACGTTTGGGGCGCTTATTTCAGGTTCAGGTAACCCAGGGGCTGAGACCTCTAGCGGCAGGAGACCGAAGCTTAGTTGATTGACATGTTTGCTGATTATGCTGATGCACCTGCTTAGTGTTTATGCTTTATCCATTTTCATGCTGTTTGTATTGAGACTTGATGAGTATGTTGTTTATTTGCTGAGCATGAGGATTGTCCATGCCACATTGATTTGACGATGTTTAGTTTATTCGAGTTGTATAATTGTATCAGGATTATGTCCGGACTATGTGTTGTAGATCCGTGACTTAGATACTCACTCATTTATTTATGAGGTATTTCAGTTAGTTGTCTTTTGCAATTTACATACAGGCGATGTTTTTATGAAATTGATTAAGTAATCAACTTGGCTAAGTTTAATGACGTCATAATTGAAAAGAAAAAGATTTCCCGCAAATTTAATTAAGCGTGGCTTAATACGATGACATGTTAACAAACCGGGTATACACGGGGTGTTACAGTGGGAACTGACCCTCATTGCGGCCAGCTCGCATCTCCTCCAACATGACCCTCATCGTGGTCATGTTTGCTAGCATGTTTGCCTCAAGAACATCTTCCGTGGCCTTCCGGTCCGTCTCTCGAACGGCGTCCATCATTGCTAAGTTTGCCAATCTAGCGGCCTCTTGATCGGCTAGTCTAGCCGCCTGCATCTCAGCCAATGCAGTCAGGACCGGGTCGGGTTAACCCTCAGTCATCTCACGATTTCTCCGCGGTAGTACCATGACTCTGCAAAGTTACACAAAGAATGAGTTGATCAGGCCCACACAATGTTGTCACATATGCATCATCATAGCAAAACCCAATAGAGAAAACACACAAGACAGCAAAACATCCTAAGTTATTGCAGTACATACAGGCTTTTTCCTAGAAAGTGCTCTGATACCATAAAATGTAACACCCCGTGTATACCCGGTTTGATAACATGTCATCGTATTAAGCCACGCTTAATTAAAAATGTGAAATATCTTTTTCTGTTCAATTATGACATCATTAATATTAACCAAGTTGATTACTTAGTTCCTTTTCACAATATTACCTGTATGTAAATTGCAATTAAACAACTAACTGAAATACCTCATAAAATAAATAACTGAAAGTGGGTCTCTAGTCACGGAACTACCACACCTAGACCAGATAGATCCTGATAGTTTATACAACTCAAATAAACTTAGACATCGTCAAATCAATGTGGCATGGATAATCCTCATGCTCACCCAATAAACAACATACTCATCAGGTCTCAATACAAACAACATGATAATGAATAAGGCATAAACACTAAATAAGTACATCAGCATAATCAGCAAGCATATCAATCAACTAAGCTCCGGCCTCCTGTCGCTAGAGGTCTCAATCCCTGGGTTACCTAAACCTGAAATAAGCGCCCCAAACATGGGGTGACATCTCTAAACAGAAATCTCAGTAAGGCAAGGGGTCCTGAAGGATTTCTCCACCCCAAGCTCACTTACATGTGCAATATACGTTCCAAAAGCAGTTTAACAATATAAGTTGCAAAATAGTGCAATGCAGCAGATAATCATGTCATGTGAGTTAACTATTCTACTGGCCAGAGAAATACAGGATTTACACACGTCTATTACCCACATAGTACACGCCCATGTCGTACCTACTCACAGGATTATCATCCCGTCTAGGCGAAGCATCACATACATATCATAAGCATTTGCACTTAACAGCTCAAAAGCATTTCAATAAAGCAATAAATGAAAACACATCATGCATATAGCCCATTCCCCCATGGGGTATGGTGGAACCATTGTTGGCTAAACCAAGAACACGAAAGCTTACCTTGCGAGCTAACTATCCAAGCCAAGAGTCCACAAAAGCTCACAGTCCACAAACAGCAAGATCACAATCTGTTTTAGACCAACAATCATATCAATATTCATACTCCACAAGCATATGACATAAAGACATGCTTTCCTCTTATGTTTCTTGTCTTTAGGCTTCTCACAAAGCCATAAGCCCTTAATCACATAGATTCTTACTTAGATAAGTCCTTACAGAAGTACACATTAACCAATTATGGGTCAACAAACCCAAAATAGCATTTTGTGTGAATAATATCGTTACTGTCTCGAACTTCCCAGAATATCTGGATCTTTGTCAGGGCAATATCCGGATATCAATATCCGGATATGCATATCCGAATATCATATCCAGATATCCATATTCATATATATCAAGACCCCATATCCGGATATCAATATCCGAATATCATATCTGGATATTTCGTGACAGAATGCAGTTCTGCATTTCGCGAGATATCCTTCCCAAAGGTAGCTTTTTTAACGATTCCAGAGGCTTAAACATGCATTTCTAGGTGTGTTTAACCTTACTCAGCCTTAAGTTATCAACTTTAGTTCATTACAAGCATCAAGGCTTCATTTTTAACAAAGGAAACTTAAGAACAAAAGTGATGATCATACCACAAGCTCAAAATAGAGGTGAATTGTAACACCCCGTATATATCTGGTATGTTATCATATCATCGAATTAAGCTGCGCTTAATTAAAAATACAGAATATCTTATTCTTTTCAATTATGATGTCATTAATCATTACCAACTTGCTTACTTAATCATTTAATAAAACATTGCCTGTATGTAAATTGCAAAAGACAGCTAACTGAAATACCTCATTAAATTAAACAACATAAATATGTCTCTAGTCATGGAACAACAACACGTAGACCGAACAACCCTGATTGTTTATATAACTCAGTTAAACTTAAACATAACAGAAATCCAAGTGGCATGGACAAATCTCATGCTCACCCAAATAAGGCACAAGCCCAACAGCAGTCTCAACAGCAACAATATAATGAAAGCAAGCTAAAAACATAACATTAGCAGATATATCCAGCATCCAACCATGACAGCATAAAAACAGTAATATCATCAACTAAGCTCCGGCCTCCTGCCGCTAGAGGCATCAGCCTCCAAGTTACCTGATCCTGAAATAAGAGCCCCAAACGTGGGGTGAGATCTCTAAACAAGAAATCTTAGTAAGACAAGGGGTCCTCAAGGATCTTCCACCCCAAACTCACTTACATGTGCAATATAAGTTCAAAAGCATTTATCAGTATAAGTTCCAAAACTATGCAGTGCAACAGATATTCACGCCATGTGTGTCAAAACTATTCTACTGGCCAGAGAAATGCAAGAATATGTCTATTACCTACATAGTACAAGGAACATCGCTTGCACCTCACCCACAGCCTCACCATCTTGTATGTACTACATACTCAGACTTACCGTATAGGTGGAACACCACATGCATATCATAAAGGCACTCGCATATAACAACTCAATAGCATTTATCATAACAGTACATGAAAACAACATCATGCATATAAACCATCCCCCCATGGGACATGGTGGAACCAAAAATGGCAAAGCCGAGGACACGAAAGCTTACCTCTTAAGCTAATTATCCAATCCAAGAGTCAACACAAATCTCAAAGTCTACAAACAGCAATATCACAATCTGTTTAGACCAATTATAACATCAATATTCATACTCTATAAGAATGCTCAAAAAGACAACGCTTTTCTCTTACGTTTTACGTCTTTAGGCTCCTCACAAAGCCACAAGCCCTTAATCACATAGATTCTAACTTAGTTAATTATTACAGAGATTCAACATACCTCATCATGGGTCCATAAACCCATAAATATCATTCTGTAGGAACAGTGCAGCCACTGTTCATCGAAAACCCAGAATATCTGGATATTCCTCGGGGACATATCCGGATATCCAGAAACCCA